CATATGGGACACTTGAGAACAGTGCTCGAGACTTTGAGAGTATATCAGTTATATGCTAACCTAAAGAAATGGTCCTTTGCAGTTAAAAAGGAAGTACTTAGGACATTTGGTGACCAGAGCAAGGAGAGCAGCATACCTGTCCAAGATTGAGGCAATGTTGGAATGGTCTTTGCATAGGAACTTGAAGGAGCTGAGAGGATGCTTAGGTCTCACCGCGTACTATCGGAATTTTGTGAGAGGGTATGACACAATTGTATGGTTGCTGATGTAGCAGCTGAAGAAATATTATTTAAGTGAGGGGTACATACCTTTGAATAGTTGAAGAGGGCCATGAACAACATGATGGTATTAGCACTCACAAACTTCAGTCGGCTATTCGTGATAGAGACGGGTGCATTAGATTATGGATTGGAGGTAGTACTCTTACAGAACTAGGAAAATATTGCCTATTTCAGCTGGTGCTCGCCATCAAGATGAGGCACAAGTGCGTATATGAGTAGAAGTTGATGACTTATGCCTTGCCTTTTTAGAAGTGACATCCCTATTTGTTAGGACGACACTTTATAGTCAGGACAGATTAGAGAAGTTTGAAGTATTTGTTGAAGCAGATGATAGTGATCGAGAAACATAAAAGGTGGTTATCTAAGTTACTTGGATATGATTTTGAGATCTAGTATTGTCCATGACTGGAGAATAAGATCGTGGATGCACTATCGATAAAGGTGGAGTCCTAATTGACATATTTATCAATACAAGTGAAGTACCTAGGACATGTGGTGACTAGAGTAAGGGTAGCAGCATACCCGTCCAAGATTGAGGCTATGTTGGACTAAACTTTGCTTAGAAGCTTGAAGGAGTTGTGAGAGGTTCTTAGGTCTCACCGCGTACCATTGGAATTTCGCGAGAGGGTATGACACAATTGCATGGTTGTTGATGGCGCAGCTGAAGAAAGACTATTTTAACTAAGGGGAACATAACTTCGAATAGTTGAAGAAGGCCATAAATAGCATGCTGGTATTAGCGCTCATATACTTCAGCAGGCTTTTTGTGATAGAAACAGATACATTAGAATATGGATTGGGGGTAGCACTCATGCAGAACCAACAATCTATTGCCTATTTCAGCATGTGCTCACCGTCAAGATGAGGCTCAAGTGCATATATGAGCGGGAGTTGTTGACTATTTTCTTGCCCATTTAGAAGTGACATCCCTATCTTTTAGGGCGACACTTTATCGTCAGGATAAATTAGAGAAGTTTGAAGTATTTGTTGGAACATATGATAGTGACTGAGAAGCATAAGAGGTGGTTATTGAAGTTACTTGGATATGATTTTGAGATCTAGTATTGCCCATGACTGGAGAATAAGATGGTGGGTGCACTATTGATGAAGGTGGAGGAGCCCTAACGAACATTTTTATCAGTGCCTGTGGTCTTAAATTGAGAATGCTTGATGTAGAGGATTGAACAAGATGAGGGGAAGAGGAAGATCGGGGCAGAGTTGCTATGAGATTCGGACAACCATCCAGTTTATGTATTTAAGGGACAACTATACCACAAATGATTCATGTTGTCAGGGGTATTTGGGTACATCCCCAAACTATTGTAAGAGTTTTACAACAGCGCAACTGGGGGGCACTCAGGGGTACCAAAGATATACTCATGATTGTCGGTAGAGCTAAATTAGGTGAGGATCCGTAGAGATGTAGAGCACATGATGGCGAGATGCGACGTGTGCTAATAACTCCAGTAATTAACTATGACAGCATGAGGGCTATTGCATCCCCTAACTTTATCCTAGAAGATTTGGGAGGAAGTGATAGTAAATTTATAGAGGGGTTGCCACAATCAGAGGGATTTACTTTGTTATTGGTGGTAGTGGATCACTTGTGCAGGTTTGCGCACTTCATTCCATCGCGACACCCTTACACTAATGTCTTATTAACTTTTGTGTGGGAAGTGATTCTTTTGCATGGTGCTTAAGAATCTATTGTATTAGATAGGGACAAGATGTTTGTCAGCCATATCTTGAAGGAACTATTTGGATTACAATAAACATTCCTAAAGAGAACTACAACATATAATCCCTAGTTAGATGACCAGAAGGAGGTCTTCAAAAGGAGTGTGGAGATGTATCTATGTTGTTTTGTATCGAATACGTCAAAGCTTTGGGAAAGGTAGATTGCTTGGGTTGAGTATTGGTATAACACTTCATTCCATGTTGCAACACAGACCACTACTTTCATGATTTTATATGGGTGGGTCCACCTCACCTAATACACTTTGGGCATAATACTACATCACTATCCAGTGTAGACAAATACTTTGAGGAGAGGGACAAGATATTGACTGAACTGAAGTGATATCTACTGAGGGCTAAACAAATCATGAAGAGGAAGGTCGATGGACATAAGAGGGTGGTACAGTTTGAGCCTGGGGACATGGTTTATTTGAAGCTGAGATCTTACAGGCAAAAGACACTTGCAAAAAGAAGAGAGAAGCTTTCCCCATTATATTTTCAATCCTATGAGATTGTGGAACATATTAGAGCAGTGACAGTATTCCATGTATCACAATCGATGCGTGCTATTAGAGACCATACACTCTCGATCCCTCCGATGTTGGCACATAACATGGAGATGATTTTGGAACTTTTGGAGGTATAAGGGGTGCGCTGAGGAGTAATTGGGGCAAAGGAGGGTTGATTAAGTGGAAACCTGGGAGCTTTTTGAAGTGATCTTAAAGCACTTTCCATTATTCCACCTTGAGGACAAATTGCTTTTTCTGGGAGGAGAATATTGCTACGTTGGTCCTTCCTAGGCTAGTTTGGACTAGCCTGGCTAACCTATCCAGTGGGCCTAGTCAAATGGGCAAAAACCCTAGCTGACACTCGAGAGGATTCCAGCCCTTGGGTGGGGCATGTTAAGCCCCTAATCATGTATGGAAGGAGAAGAATTAGGGTGGTTTTGGGGGAAGTTTCGATGTGTTTTGGGGTGTTTTGTTAAGGCTAATCACCTAGAGTTTGCTTTCATGTTTGGATTACGACAGTTTCTTTCTGTCTTCTTTTTCCTAGCGGCATCTAGGATTTTTGGAGAGTAGATCTACCCCTCGAATTGTAGATCACCAATTGTTTCTTGTTTGTTTGCTTGGAGATTAATCAAGTTAGCCCTAATTTGTGTTTTCCCACATATTTCTTGGATCTATTTTGCCATTTTTTGTTCTGGTTCCTGTCACATTAATCCATACATTAATGGTGCAATAAAGTGCTCACTATTGAAGATGTTATTTCCGGGAGTAAATAAGGTAACTTCATCGATTTAACCATTGAGAAATACAACCTTGGATAAATCTTAAAGGATTGTCATGTGCAAACCTTTATAAATGAAAGTGGATTCAAAAGATGGCTCTCTCAACATTATCTTGATAATAATGTTGGCTAATATTAAATGTTATCATATAATATTCTTATGTATTAAATATAATGTATGTCAATGTTTTCTTGCTTAAAAATGTTATTATCTAAAACACTCAAGGTTTTTTCGATCATTCTTTTTTAGATTTTTTATTTTTCCCATTAAATATCATGACATCTAGATATTATCAGATTTGATGACATCATGAATATCATTTTAAACATTTTATGTAAAGATATCAACAAATTAAATACTTGACATATGCTAATAAGGGGCATTTACATACATTCATATGTATATGTATGTATGCATCTGCATGCCTTTTAATAGTACCTACATACATAGATACATGGATTGATTAACTACTAAACACAATTAATATGATTAAATCAAGTTGATTAGCTAATCCAATTGTTTTAGTAACTTCAAATTAACTAATGTGTACTAATACCAAGATATGGTGATTACAAGATAATGCTTCAACTAAGAACAATAGCAATTTGTGCACAAGAGAGTAAATTTACTCTGCTCAATAGCACAAGAATATGTAAAACATCAACAATCAACTAAACATTCAAAGAGAAAACAATTAAATAAGTGAGTGTGCAAGTGTAAAATTTAATTTTTAAAGTATATATGTCATAACACAATTTTTATATAAGTAGACATTCAATATATCTACATTCACATCGAATCCTCACATGAATTAGGATTTTACTATCCTAGACTTGAAACCACATGTTCATTCTACTCATGGTGGTGAAATAAAGAAAAAGGTCAAAATGGTCTTTGGACTTTATATTGGGCGCTATTTTAATTTCATACTATCTAATGTATTTAATTTAGTATTTTGATTTCTTAAATCTGATCCATAGTACTCTCTTAGACTCATCAAATCTCCAACACAATCCAGTAGGACTATTTTTTATTGTATTTGTGGAGTCAATGGACTAAATTGAATACCTTTATAGTTTAGGTTAAATTTCACCATTTAAATAGTTCATGGTAAGAGTACCCTTTATTCAACAAGCACCCAAGCTTTACAAAAACGTTCCTCAAAGTTTCACTTGGCATGACCTGAAGATTTTAAGAAAATGCCAAGCTAAATTTATGTTTGATCCTTGGAAATAACTTAACGGCTATCACCTTAAAAGTATAACACAATCTGCATGAAAAGCACAACTTAAGACTTTCTACAGATTGCATGAAAAATGTTGCCAAATAAGATCCAATCAAGGATTGTTGATTGATGAACATTTTTACTACTATGAAATCTCCACGGATATGAACTATGAATGCTCAAAAAAGTAAATTTGCATTACGCCATTTCTCTTAAACTCAACTCATATTAATACAATCAAAACACTTCCTAAGTAAGTCCTGCAACAGCTCTCCAACAGCTAGAGGAGGCACCCCCAACCACAAGTCAAATTGGTTGTTGCATTGCAGGTTGTACAATGCCTGAAGCCCGGTGGGGTCACACCAACCCTGCTCCGGCATCATGAGAAATCTCATATTCTTGGACAACCAATATAACGACAATCTTATTTTATACTTTAAAGTAATGTAATGTATCTTGTGGATTACAGATAGGTCCAGACATTCTTGTAAGTGGTTTTCTTCATCCCATTCCTGACCTATCACCAGTGATCCCATCTGTCCATGAAACTGCTGCTCTTGATCCAGCAGTCTCTCCCTATGAGTCAAAGATTATATTCTTTTATAAGACATGGGATCCGTTTGGAGCATTTTCTAATTTTTCTCCACACTCTATAAGCATGCCTGATGAAGCTGGTGATTTTTGCATGTGGCCTACTGTGGAACATTACTATCAGGTACGCTAAATATATGGGAATCACGAGGCCTAGCTCTTTAGAAATTCTGATGCACTGTACAACTGATTGCTGTTGCTTCTGATTTGCAGGCTCAAAAGTTTGTGGCCGTTGATAATCCACTTGCGAAGAGTTTGATAGAAGAAATTAAGCGTGCAAAAAGCCCTGAGGAAGCAGCACGCATTGGGAGAAAATTTCAGAGAGAGCACCCTGAATTGGTAGGTTTTTGCACGGGAGGACCTGGAATTTTGCATTTAAGTTTCCATGATTTTCTTGATATGGTAGCCTTGTCTTTTTCACTCCTGAAAATTAGGAACATCTAGTTATACACTTGTTTCCCTTGGACATTAAATTTAAGATTCTTAAGCTTAATACTAATCGAGATGTTCACTCCCTTCTCTGCTAAACCTATTTTTTTCATTTCATATCTGTTAAATTCTTTTTGGTTCTCTGGCGTTTGGAATATGATACTATCTAGAGTTTATTGTTATTTGAATGTTAGTGGAATCTATCAGTTGTAATTTGTTTGGTTAGTTCTATTGTTATAAATATTCCACTTTTATGTGTAGTGATCGAACGGGGATTCTTACCTTTCTTTCAGTCTTAATTGTTTTTCTCGTTGAGGCTGGCCATTGCAACATCAATGTCTATCTTTTTAGGTTAAATTTGACTTCTGATTTCCATAAACTCAAAAATTACCATCCAAAATATGCATTACCAACGTGACGTGACACAAAGACTAATACTTCTTCTGTTGAGTAACTAGGACCAACATTTTGCATGGACTCCAAGCAATCCACATAAGAATAGTTTGAAGAGGTTTTGATTTCTGCGATGTGATTAACAGAATTCCAACGGGCAACTATGACTAACATTTACACGGCCAGCTAGCAATCCACGTAGCTGATAATTTAACAATTTCTTGTTTTTGGCAGTGTGATTATTAGAATTCTAATTTCTCGGGTGTCTCCTTGTTAGTTGAATGAGTTGGCAAATTAGTTATTAATGTTTTAAGGACTAGTAAGTTTTCAGCTGATACGATTTTGAAAACATGAATTTTTATTTTCTTTCAAAATATTTTTTTTTTCTAACGGATATAGCTGATTATATATATATATATTATATATATATATATATATATATATAATTCCAGTTGATACTTCTATCCATTCTTGTAGGATAAACAAAGTGGCTTTACTAGGCCCATCTTGGCCGACATCTCCAATTTTTTCAACTTGGCTTGCTCAGCTGACTTATTGAGCCAGGTAGGTGCTCAGTTTTGTGCCGCATGAGCAACTTCCCAGGGTCTGGAAGAAAACTCTCTGGAGCAAACCCAAACAACAACCTTGTCTCGTCCTTCTAGGTGTCTCAAAAAGCATACATCTCCATGCTTCTTTGAGCCTAGCTTGTCATGCACCGACTCAGCTTGTGGAATCTCTCCAACATCTGCAATAGGTATGTTAGATCATGAATCTAATCTCAAATCCAAGATAAATTCTATGAAATACTTGAGTATTATGGCACCCAAATTAGAGATGAATTACTTCATTTTAAATTTTTATAAATTAATTTTAAAATTAATGTGGAGTAAAGATAAATAATTTTCATGATGACTAAATAACTTACAATATCATAGATGAAATAAAAAGTGACAAAAGACTCACAACTTGTTTATGTGTTCTGACAAACTCGAACAAGGCTTATATCCATGCCTAGTCAACCACCAATAAGATTCTAGTATCCCACAATTTTCAACAATAAAATGTCATATTTTTCAATCATTGGGCGAGTACAATTCTAGGCTACAAAATGAATATCATACTCTCCTACATCATGTGAGTACAAATCCCATTATACACTTATGCACCAGAAAACTACAACCCCAAGCCACCATATAATACAATCAACTAAAAGAACAACTTAAAGAAACATAAACATAACTCTAATTGTAACACAGTAAAAATTATACATTTTTGCATAACTACAGCTCACACTGATTTTACAAATGACTTGAATGATTACCTTTAAATATGATAAAATTTGCAATAACATGACATGAATAAGCTTTGGTGTAGTAGCTATTAGCTCTGGCACATATCTTGATAGTACAATGAATTTTGCTTCATACTACATGACTATTTTTTCCCTCTGCACCAATTTGACAAATTTGTTCTGCATTTGTCTTTGCGCGGATAGGAGAACAAACCACTCCCTAAAAAACTCCACGAAGTCCTCCCATAACATGTTCTGACATTGCCCACGCCACCACCTTTATGCTTCTCCATCTAGCACAAATGCAGCTAAATTTACTCTTCTTTCGTCAAGGGACGCCATGCAATCTAACATCTTCTCTATCCTTATTAGCCAGTTCTCGGCTTCAATCAGATCTTCAGTTCCCTTGAACAAAGTTTGACGCAAATCTTGGAATAAATTCAAATATTTATTAACAACTATTGTCTCAATTCCACTAGACTGCAGTCTTGAGACCAACATCTGAGTTAGAACGTTCATATTAACATTAATAGTAGGCAGTATTGCTTCATTTTCAACCAGACTTCTCTCTTTTATTATCTCAGGTGCATTAATTTTCCTGAATTAAATAATGATTTAATTAGTGATCTTAAAATTTTAAATATTATTATTATTAATTACTTTGTAATTATTTAATTGCCTCTTTCATCAAGATTACATTAATTATTCATAAACTTTTCTCTTACATCACTTTTGTCACAACTTGGCCGAGAGTTTGGAATTAACCAAGACGGGTATAAATAATCTGATGGTAAAATCATTAAATTTCTATAACTAAAATTTTAATAATGAAAGAGCCACTATAAAAAAAAGTGTGAATTAAAGTAAGATGGTTAAATTTACCTCATTTATGGTTGATCGCACTTCTATACATATTTTCTCTCTGTTGTTCATCTTTTAGTCAATTAAATTAAACATGAAAAAATTAGTTAAAACAATAGTAAACTAAATAGAAGTGTATACTCATACTCCTAAACTATAGTTATTCAATGAAAATGGGACATATGCATGTCAGTTAAACTTTATGTAAATCAATCTAAAGATCATTTGAAAGTTTGTACTGTCTAATAGGATCTTCCAATGCAATTATACACATTCACTATGTCTTTCTATATCATTGACATATCGGTATATTTCTAGTATGTATATCTGTGTAAAAATTGTGTTAAATAAGACTCATCAATATTAATGTTCTTTTCCATTTACATGCACAACTACTTAAGCATTCTCTCACTAGTACTATAAAGAGATTACTTTATCATAACCAAACATGTACATGCAAGCATGTTATAAATTATTTCATTTATATTTTAAACATCATCTAATATCTTTCTTTTAATAACATGTATGTGTATTAAATAAGTATAACTATGCAAATCATTCACATTCATTTCTAGATGATCAAATTGAATAATAAAACAAAATAATTATATTCTAGTTGTAGTGACTAGAAATCTTGACAATTGACATTCTAATGCAAGTGATTTAAAAGAAATACAACATTTTTATCATAATTTAGAAGTAAAAGTATGTATCTAACTCTTTTTATGATTCTTGTAGTCATTTAATCCTTGATATCCTCTATTTAGGATTTAAAAATGCAAGACATAATATTTTATCAACTTCATTTTAGTTATTACTCAAAAGTCTAAAGTATTTATCAATTACACCCTATTTAGGTTTTTATACTTCTTCTAGATTAAAAGGCATGAGTAGAACTTACCTCAATTAAATTTGTTTGTTTGCTCCTTCCTCGATCACCGCTCTCGATTATATTTCCAAAATTACGACTTAATTAAAAGTACTATTAATATTTCAATATCCAAACATATATATTAAATTTATTAGTAAAATGCTAAAACCTTAGCTCACCTTAACTTTTAGTTGTTGTTGTTACCCTATTCTCAATCCAAAAGTCAAACTTCTATAACTTGAATCATGATTTATTTAAACCTTACTATTAATAACTAATAATTAATTATATATTAATTTCATAAATTAAAGTTTAAAAAACCTTACCACTATTCGGTCTAAACCACCCAAAGCCACGCAGCCGCTCCTTCCTCTGCTTCGATCATTATTCCTTTGATTGCGACACAAATAAGCACCGTAAGTTCTTGACACCACCTCCTCGTTTACTTTTGGCTCGGTCCAGCACTACACGTGAGCTCTTGTTCTTCTTCCCACTTCCTCTTCCTCTGCACGATACCCACGCTGGCTTCTCCTCTATAGTCGATGGAGACGTCGTTGCTAGGCACCAATGTCGCCGCTCTTCTCTTCATTCCTCTTCTCTTCTTTAATGTTTGGATAGGGCACGGTCGGGCAGTGGTAACTGCACACAAAGCTTCCCTTCCTCAAGCTAGCGGCTCGCAATAGTCTACAAAGTCGCTCAAGGCCTTTTCATTCTCGTATGTTCGAGGGAATGGAAGGAATTGTTCGCAGGTAAGCTGCACATCAGCTCTTCTTTTCTTCCTCTTCTTCTTCTTTTGGACTTGCCTCCCTTGGCTCCTTCCCTCGTCATCATATACTCTCGATTTCTCTCCCTCTCCCACTGTATCTCATTCTCTATCTCTCTCGTTCCTCTGTTCAGTTTAAACGAGGGGGAAAATGCAAGGATATTTGTGGTGTGTTTCTCTTTAGAACGACATCTATGAAAGGATACATGTCGTAACAGATAATATATATAACATGTGATAAAACAAAACACTCATCAATCTCTAGCAGCATCAACATCAGCAGTAGGTTCTTCAGGCTCTCTACCAGAAAGAGAATAAACTCGAGGTCGATCTGATTGTCTTGGTTGACCTTGAGTAGGAACTGAAGCTATAAGCTCTATCCTTTTCTGCCTGCCCATTTGAAATATTCAGTGAAGGAACACCACTTGGTTTCTCTTCTTCTGAGGTTTTTCGACCAAGTGAAGAGCAGTATCTGGCTATGTGACCAGGCTGACGACACCAATAGCAGGTATGAGAGCCCATCAAACATTGACCCTTATGTTATTTTCCACATTTGACACAAGTGACTATGGTAATATGAGGACTGCCACCACTGAATCTATGAGAATTAAATTTGGGCTTCTTCACATTGAATTCTTTTGATTGATTCACATGCTTTCCTTCATCAACACTTTTCTTTTCATGTGTTTCCTTACACTTTTGAATAAGCTGGAAATCAATATCCACTTGTC